AGAATTCATCTGTCAATCACACTCTGAGGACATGCCATCCACTTGTTTCCATGTGTATGTTACATAGTTACTGATGCATTAAGATATGATACCATGTTTGAACACAGACCCATTTCTGAATAAAGAGATGTTGTGGGGCATGTGGGGGCAGCTGAAGTGTGAAGGTACAAATGGACAAGCACAGAGAGAAGTTGGTTATTTGTCAAAGACTTGAGCTCTTTGAGGCATCTTGTGAATCCTTTACCTATCTTTTATGTATTTTCTGTCAGCTTTGTGTATTAATTTGACCTCAACTCAATATGCTCTATATTTTAGCAAAAGATAGAACAAATGTAGCTCTGGAAAGAGATACTTCTGAGCAACTTTCAAAGGAATAGAAGCCAGATTTGGAATGAATCTGGGGAGATGTTATATATTGTTTTTGTTTAACTCAGCATAAGTCTTTCTTGACAGTTCTGACTATTTGTTAAACTTTCTTTTTGATAGGGCTTTTGTAACAGTCTTATTGTTGACCCAGACTGCTGACATTATTTTGTTGGTGGAGTCTTGTAGAATGTATTTGTCATTCTACATAGAATGTATTTGCAAAGAAGTCTGTATAACCAGAGGCATAGCCTCCAAACTAAAACAGAAGTTAACAATCAATATTGCAGTAGTCTCAAAGGTGAAAACAAGTTTTGATTCTATGAAATACATGTATTGCTGTGTAATTTAAAAATAAATATAACAAGATTAGGGTAAAAAGAATGCATGTACTATAAAAGTGATTTATATATACTTCAGTAATTCCAAATTTAAAAAAAAATCCAGTAATTCCCTTTATTCACTTATTTAATGAAGCACTAATTTTGACATGTGATTAAAATTTTAATTTTTTCCACTAAGTGTCTTACCAGTGGTCTGTGTCATAGATTTGATTTGGCTGTTAAACATCTCAACTCTGTACTTTGCCAGCATGTCATATGTCTTATTTATTTAAACCTTAAACTTGCATTTATCTCTCTGCACAAGTAGAGTTTTTGCCTATGCTTACCTTCAGGATAAATCGCAGGTGTTCTGTGTGGGTGTCACTCCCTGGGGCTTTTGACAAGAAGCTCTTCAGCCTCAGCACTGCTGTTGGTTTAGGGAAGTACACAGCCACACAGGTTGCTGGTTTGGGACTGAACTGTGGTAGGTAAGAAGTCTGTGTTGCTTTTGTGACATGGCCTAGAGTAACTTACTGCAGTTTTAAAGAGAGATTGGATTTATACTTCAGCACTGCCAGACTCAGAGCATAATGAGTCTTTTCTTTCCATTATTTAAACTGTGAAGAAGAGCATCTCTCTTTTTCTTCTTGGCTCTCAGTTTTGGAGTGGAAGGGTGTACTAAAGGAAGCAGAAGCTAAAATACTAAGAAGTCTTACACAAAAAATCTTTAAGGGTAAGCTTGATTGAAACAGAAAAGTGTTATAGAGTTACTTGAAGGTGCAGTAGAAAAACATCATACTTGTCTATGGCCGGATCCAGTCATTAGTATTGTCAGCTATAGGCTTCCACAAGCATGGCACATCAAAGAAGAGTAAGGTCTTTGTGTTGATTCTTCGTAAACTGCTGTTGTCATTATTCTTATGCACCTAACATAAACATAATGGCATCAACAAAAGACAGACTCAGGCATGCTCTTGAGGCTGTCTTCATGTGTGATTGGTTGTAGTGGGTATGTTGTAGTTCCACCTCTAGTTCCACCTCTAAACATCAGCCATTTATTATAAGGGAATAATCAAATTCCTTTGTACTAAAACTGAGACATGGTATGCATTTAAGGAAAAGCAACGGAATCAAGACAATAGAGTGTGTCTATTTTCAGTGTTCTGATGCATCAGAAGTGATGTATGGAAAAAAGCTCAGATAAAGAGAGCTTAAGGTCTCTTTCTGTTTCTAAAACCCCATTGTACTAAGTTTGTCTGGGATGGAGTTAATTTTCTTCATAGCAACCCCTATAGGGCTGTGTTTGGGATCAGACTCCAACAGGGGTGATAGGACACCAGTTATTTGGCTGTCACTGAGCATCAAGATTTTCTCTTTTCCACTTTTCCCCCAAAGTGACTGTACTGGGAGTGGGCATGGGGTTGGGAGGGGACACAACTAAGACAGCTGGCTCAGGTTGATGAGAGGGCTACTGCATACCATATAATGCCATGCTCAGCAATAAAAACTGAGGGGAGGAGGTTTTAGAGGAGGTAGCCATTGCTTAGAGACTAGCTCTGGTCTGTTTGTGGGAGATGGTGAGTGATTGCCTTTGCCTCACCTGTTTCATTTTTTCTTCCTCTTTTCTTCACTTATTAAACCTTATCTTGACCCACAAGTTCCTTCCCTTGAGCTCCTTCTTCTCTCCCCGAGTCCTGCTGGGGGCTGGGGAAGGAAGGATTGGCTGTGTGGTCCTTAGCTCTTGCCCAGGGTGAGCCCACCACCCCATAGAGCTGGATCTGCTAGGATGAGGTGCTCCGGTGCAAGTTGGTGGTACAATTCTGGAGTACAAAATAAGATACCAACTACATGTTTAATGGTGTAGGTTTCTGTTATGCACTTTCATGGGGAAGTCTTCATGTGAATTCAATAGATCAAAAAAAGAGATACTCAATGCTAATTGTTGTAAATTTTCTATGGCTTTTTAATAGTGCCTCTTACTTCTTTCTTGTTAACTGCTAATATAGTTTACATGGTTTTAACTGGCCATTTGCCATATCCAGCTAGAATAATAAAAGTGCACATGAAAAATACAGGTACAACCTAGATAGTAAAAAAAAAAAAAAAAAAGGGGAGAAAAATACTGAACTGAAAATAAGCAGAGGGATGAAATTTAAATTCGTATGAATAATGATGACAGATTGTATTCTGCACTCCTTTTTAGATTTCTTAGATAAAATTGTAACCTAGAACACTGAGGGCCCCATAATATTAACATTATTGTTTCCTTAGAGTTGTTCATTGTTTACTACATGAAATAATAGGGCTCTGCAAAGTTGCATCCTATACAAGAGAATTGTATACAATAATTCTGCAATTCTGTACTAGTACTGCTGGGTGCATACTGTAATTCTCATGTCCATACTGCAGTAAAGTAATTTAGGAGCAAAATTTCTTAAAAGAGCTCATTTAAGCTTAGTGTTTTTGGAAAGCAGAGTACTTTTAAACCAGCTCTTTCCAGGACACTACTTCCTTTTTATTCAGTCTACTTCAGAGCACTTTTCAAACACTTTTGAAACACATTTGCACCTAGTACTTAACTGCACAAGCAAACTATCATACTTCAATGCAGTCACATTTGTATTTGATAGATAGGATTTAGAAATAATTTGTATCTGATGGGTGTCAAAGGGGTTGAAACACTCTATGTTTTTTGTTTTTTGTTAATAGGACTCGGATGAGTATCTCAGTGAGATTAAGTAATCAGGACAAGGGCAAAACTAATTGAAGTCAGGCAATATCTTCCCAATAATTTCAATAACTACACCAATCCCAGTGAAACAGTTCCTCTCAGGATGGGTGCGAGGAAATACTGATAAGTTGTTGAAGAAATAGTGGTTGAGGGAGGGCCGAGAGAGAAGTACCATGGAGGTAGCTGGGTCAGACATTTCATGGGTGGAAATGGATAGAAGGGGAGCAGCAGTGCTTGAAGGCATGTTAGTATACATACAAGATGGCATATATTATTTTGAGTGATGTCCAGTGCCTCAGTTTAATAAGGTGGATAACAAAGGCAGAAAGTTAGAATTTAAAATCAAACTACTGTGGGTTACATGAGGAAACTAACCTTTACTATGTCACAGTAGCAATAAATGATTTTTCTGTGTCTCAGGACTGGAATAGTTGCTTTACTACAGGATATGATATCATTACATTGTGAGAAGGGGTTTATAAGCATGTTCTTGTTTGAAACAAATAAATAGAGCTCACAGACTTTTCAACAGTTGCTCATTTAGATTTACTGTAAATATTAAATGTTGTAATTATGCTCAAAAAAATACGAGACTGAAAACATTTAATGTTTTACAGGTCCCATGAGTAAGTGATATAAGCTGATAATCTGTTGCTGTGAATAATGAGCAAAGTAATTCCAGATTTGAAAATTTTTCCTTGAATGCCAGCAGGAATGTTCTGTAGAAATCAAGAACAAAAAGTTCTATGTGTGTGAATTTGATTATTAAAACATTAATGACAGTGAAGATGAAAACTGTCACTTGCCTTGGTTTGAGGAAAGGCTGGTCTGCATGTGTTAACTGGCAAAATCGTCAAAACAATAGAATCTGTTATATTGTAAAATAAGCTTAAGAATCCCTCAAATAATCTTACTGTGGAAATTTCCCTGAATCTTGTGTATACTTGGAGAGAAGAAATACTTTTTCTTTTAATGATAGGCTAAATATTGACTTTATTCATCAGTGGCTTTTAAAAAGCTTTTTTTTTTTTTAATGAAAAATAGATACTTGTGCTATAATACTTTTTTAAAATTTCTTTACTAGTCAGTTTTGAAGTTTCAACTATATTTGTCTTTGTTTAATTTATTATTATTATTTATTAATTCAGTTACAATTGTTTAATTGTAAATAACAGAGAATAAAATTTTGTGACATTTTTATAGTTTTTATATGCTAAAGCCATATGTATGTGGGCAAAAAATAATGGGGTTTTTTTGTGTGACAAAACTATTCAAATTTTTATATGAAAATTTTGTGGAAGGTAACTAAAAATAACATAACCCTCAACCATAACTTGTTACAAAAGCTGCTGAGTATTATTTCCAGGATTATATACAATATGACTAAAAGGCTTTCTTAAACAGAAATTATTTTGATGTAGACCAGAAAAAAAATTGAAAATCAAGTTTGTTAGAAATCATTTCTAAGGAAACATAATTAGATGCTAAGTTATATTTTATGCTCTCTTCATTTTCAAAAATAAGTTTTGCTCACATAGAGAAAAAATATAGAAACTAATGTCTTAAAATTTCTTCTGACTTAGAAAAAACTGACCAAGAGAATACTGTGGCAGGAGATAAAGACATAAACCAGCCTTCCAGTAACCAAAGTATACAAGCAGAGATACAAGAGCAGTCCATCTGGGGAAATCGCACCGATGCTGACCTCATCACAAGTAAGTATTTCCAGAACAAATTGCTGCCTTTTAGGCTTGCTTTCGCAGTGTAATAGGATACTGCTTGTTGACTCTGTTAAATGTGTGTCAAATGCAATCGGGTTGCAACTGTAATGCACATCTACTGAATTTATTTCCCAGATTGACTCCTGTCAGCATGCATAAGCAATGAGTACAAAGAAAGGTGTGATTCGGGTGGTGCAGTATAGTATAGACCTCTGTAGCATCTACATTTTAAAGCCTTAGTGTTATATTCTTCCCTTATCATTAATACTATAATTAGCAGGCACATGAGTTGCAGTGTGCAGCTGTGCTAGGTGTCATCACCCTCGATTTCCCAGACTTATATTTAAGTGGCAGAGTATGATGAAAGCAGTTGTTTCCAGATGCACTGAGTACTGGTCAGGTGTAGGTTTTTTAAGAGTTTTGAATCCTAAAGTAGTTATTTCTTTCAAAACTAGAAGACTGCTGTAAGACGAGATTTTAGACTTATGCTATAGAACTGTGGAGGTTTTTAATTAGTTCTTACAGGTTCACATTCCTAATGTATGTCTTGAATGCTTTAAAACATAAAAAGGTATGCAATGTTATTCCCATTTTCCTGTCTTGAACTGAAGATCATATGCTGTCCAAATGATCATCCGCAATTGCACCCTCCTAAGGCAAAAATATTTCTGTCAACTGCCAGAGCTAAACTGCTCTAAAATTCTGTGAATGCTTGAACGTTAGTTGCTCAAGGGAGGGGCAGCATGAGAAACTGTTCTCTAATTATAGGGTGTATTCAGAAAGCAAATGGACTAAATGCCGAGTGGTGCTCCAGCTCTCCGAGGTCGTTTTCTGATCACACACTTCAGTCTGTCTTTACACTGCACACAGACTACACTGTTCACAGGGGGGTAAATTTATATTTCTGAACTTGCTGTTCTCAAAACTGAAATTTTTGCTGGAATTATCTATTTCTTTTCAGTTTTGTGTTTTTTTTGGGGGAGAGGGAGGGTTGTTTTTTAGTCTTATCTATACACTCAGCTTTTCCTGAGCTTCGTGTTAGCATTTGAAGTTCTTTTAAAATCTTATTTATCCTTTTTTTTCTAAAAAATTAATCCCTATAAATACTTATACCTCTAATGTGTTGAATAGTTACGTAGATCCTTTACAGGAAGCCTAAATTTAGCATGTCAGATGATCTGACAATTTAAAATTAATTCTCAAATGGCTGTAAAGAGGGAGGATTGTCCTGAACAGATTGAGAATTTACTTAATCCCAAAAGATTATTTTTTTTACACTTAACTGTCCCTGGACAAGCAATTGCTTTGCACTTACGTTGAGTATATGGAAAGGCGTGTGTGGCATCTTCTGCTTTTGGAATAGCCTCCTTCTCACTCCCTCTTCTTAAAAGCTTCCTTATTCCCAGACTCATGAGAAAACAGATTTATTTCATAGCAGTTAGCAGCATGCCTGAACTATGGAGGAAAGGAACAAGGACTGTAGGGTGGTGCTGTGCTTCCTCAAATCTGTTCACCAGGAAGGCATACTATAGCCGCTTCACTGAGGGAATGTGAAGGAATGATACATTTTGTAGAAATGGATGCAGAGTGTTCAAACCCCTGGTAAATTAGCCTGATGATTATGTTTAGTTATATCTCTGTGATGGGGGGGTTATTTGCTGCCAAATTAAAAAAAAAAGTAATAGGAAAAAGGGCAAAGACAGGATAAAATTCAGAGGTGTTAAGTACTGCTGCAGTGCACATGACTGTGCTCCTCCTGGAGACACTGGTAGTTTTACCTTTGACTTTGTGAAGAGCAAGTTTAGGTGAAAGCTGTAAATTTCTAAAACACTTAGTCTTGATAATTGTGTGGTAGAGGCTTTATTATGGTGACGCAAACCTATTTTTTCTTCAAATTAATGATTTTTTTAACCTTTAATTTTAAGTCTTCTAGATAGAAAAAACAAAAATTATGAAATTTAAGCAACTTTTTCTTCCTTTTTTTTTTTTTAATAGAGGAGCTATGGAAGTTTGTTCTACTTTTAAAAATTGAGATACAGTGCTTGACTCAATTACAAATACTTGTAGTTTGCAGAAGTTTTACAACTCAATATACCTAGTAATTGTAGTTTGCAAACTAGAACAAGTGGAGCAAGAAGCAGCTTTTTTATCACAAACATTACTCACATATTTCACTTTAGGTAAGTATTGAGGCTCAGAATGGTTTTGATTCAACCAGATCTATTACCCCACCAGACTAAATTTTGCAGACTATTGCATATTGAAAGAAGCTTTCTATAAATTGTTTTAGACAGGGCATGCTTCAGTTTTCTCAGGTATTAACAGCTGTTCACCACTATCCTAATGATTCCGTTAATTTTTTTCCCATACAGATTGTTTTCCACCCCCACAGTTGATACTCCATTTAGCTTAGCATTAGTTTTTACTTTACAAATATTTCCAGCATTTAATTTCCAAGGTTTTCCTTGTTTGCAGCTGTTTTATCCTGCTGTTATATGGAATTAGATTAATCAGTCAGTTTTATTGGCACACCAACAACGAAGTCCAGTGTTGGAGCCCCTGTAATGATTTCATTATGTATGATTTGTCATTTGCACTTGTGAACTCCGTTTACCAGGCAACACCAATAAACTAAAATGCTGCCCTGGTTTTCCACAGTGTGATGTTTTATATTCACCCTGCTCTGCCCTTTCAGTCCTTTTAGCAAGGTCCCCTTTTTTAACCTCTACAGATTTCCTTCAGATTAGCCTTTTCCCCACCTCCTTTGGAGCATCCCTTCTCCCCATGAATGAAAATGTTCATAAGATCGTGGGTAAATGGTTAATCTTGTGGGAAGCTTCAACCAAGGAATTAATTGTTTTCAAAGAGAGCTTGCAAATCACAAAGTTACTGTATGCTGATATACAAACAAGGAAGAGCTATATAAACAGGAAACAGTTGTATTAATTTTCTGTATCAATTGTTAATGTACTTGCATAACTGTTACTGGAATACTGTGTTCAGTTGGAGAAGGGTTACAGGAGAACCACAAATATCTCAGGAATGACTGGAGTAGTTGAAAACGTACCTTATTGTGGAAAACCTCCTGGAATTCAATCTGTATAGTGTTAACAAGGGGGATAAAGAGGGCTTTGCATTGTCCCTGAGAAGCATACCACAACAAACAGAAATTTGGTAAGACAGTTCTTCAAGTGTAGCAGACAAAGGGAGAACTAAATATAATGTCTGGAAGTTCAATTGGACTAGAAATAAGTGATATATTTTTTAATAGAGTATTTGAGAATAGGAAGAACTGCCAAATATTTGATGGATTTAGGTGTGTTAAATTTGCTTTACTCAACACACGGTGTCCATTGCTATCCATATCCTTCAATTTTAAAACCTGAGTAAAGGAGAGCATTTCCACTGTGGTTTCCCTCAGTTGGGATGACCTCTATATTTTTCAATGCAGATATTCTTCAAGAAAATATTAAGACCTATTCCCTTCCCTTCACAGACACACATGTATTTTGTATTTTATTTCAGGTTATAGAGGTTCTGCTTTTCAAAAGAGCTTTTGAATAGCTCCATCTGCTATCTTCTTTTGCAGTGCATTTTAAATATCTGCAAACACCTTCTGCCTATTTTCTTTCTATGGTCTGGTGGCCTGTAATGGAGTGGTATTGCTTCTGCTATCACTTAACCACTGACAAGTGAGGAAGAGCATATGTTAAAACAGCAGCAGGGTAACCTGTGGCTCTGGGAATGAAGCCATAGGAGCTTTTGCTACTCCGTGTTACCACAATGCCCTGCTTTGTTCTCTGGAAGAGGCTGGGAATTTTTTTTCCCTCTTAGAGAAAAAAGGCTATAAAGGTGGATTTCAGAATATTTAGAGAGAATTTTTGCAAAGGGCACTAGGTTATCATCAATTTGTGCTGTTATGCAGGCAAGGGAATGTTTAGGAGGGAAGAAAATGCCAGTCTTGAACACTATTTACTTGTGAGGGTTTAATCTCCTTTCTGGTACTCAAGCTGAACCTTAGCTATGTGATATTTAAGAAAACAAAAAACATCTACCATAGATTCAAATTTTCATGAATAATTGATTAATAATAATCCAATCCTCAAGATTAAATACCTAAAATATGCCCATGTTTTATAGATAGAAAGGTCATCGCTATCCATCATTTCCTAGCTTCAATTGCCTCTTTCTCCTCCATGGAACACCCTTTTGATAAGTGTGGTTCTTCAGAAAAAGGAATGCTTCAATCATCTTTGTGTGCACACTATTTTATTTACTATATTCTTCTTTATTTTGTTTTGTTTTATTGAAATATAAACCTAGATATTTTTCTCTTTTGGTTTTCTATATTTTTATGTTGACGTTTTACTTTACATGATTATTTATGTAATATTAAGGCCTGGAGATTCCCTTTATTTGGCTAAGTGAGTAGTTTCTGTAGTTTAAATTATGCTGTTTGGGTTTGGGATTTTTTATCCCAACAGGAAGAAGATAATCTGCTGTTAGAACTATTTTTGCTATTTTATAGGGCATAGTCATCTTACAATTACTGTGATTTCAGATGGTCCTGTTTATTCTGTCTATAAAATAATGCAAAGTGTTAGAGATAACGTAAATGGTTCTCTTCAAAGCTAGAAATTATGATAAATACAGTCTTCTTGCAGCATAATAAAGTGTGTAAGTACAGAAATTGTGCAGAATAGATTAATGGAAATTATTCAAAATATATTACTGAGTCTGAAAGGTGTATTCTTTTAGTTAAAGAAGTGATTTATGTATACAATGTTCCAAGTATACTTAGGTATAAAAGAATGTGAACCTATGAATGAACAAAACTTAAGTCAGTTCAATACTTACATACAGCAACACAGTATTTGATATTTCAAACGTTCTTTAAAAAAGATAAATCTTTGGGGAATCTGGCTACTTGAAGTAATGGAGGAGTAAAGGTTCTCTCTGAGAGCTCCTTCCCCAGAGAGATTGTCTAATCCTCT